GTCGTTTTTTTCGGCCAAAAACGCTTTACTATACATGGTCGTTTTTTTTCGGCTAAAAACGCCTTACTATATATGGTCGTTTTTTTTCGGCTAAAAAAAGGGCTAAAAACGCCTTACTACACATGGTCGTTTTTTTCGGCCAAAAACGCCTTACTATACATGGTCGTTTTTTTCGGCCAAAAACGCCTTACTATATATGGTCGTTTTTTTTCGGCTAAAAAAAGGGCTAAAAACGCCTTACTACACATGGTCGTTTTTTTCGGCCAAAAACGCCTTACTATACATGGTCGTTTTTTTCGGCTAAAAATTGGCTAAAAACGTCTTACTATACATGGTCATTTTTTTCGTCTAAAAATGGGCTAAAAATGCCTTCCTATACATTGTCGTTTTTTTCGGCCCAAAACGCCTTCCTATACATGGTCGTTTTTTGGGGCTAAAAATGCCTTACGAAACATGGTCCGAGTCGAGCCGTTTCTCCTCCACTTCGAGAGGAGCCAGTTGAGGTGGCTCGGGCAGATGATTCGAACACTTCCCTGGTGAGGTGTTCCGCGCGTGTCCCATCAGCAGGAGCGATGATGTCTCCCAGCTGGCCTGGGAACGCCTTGAGATCCCCTGGAATGAGTTGTAAGAAGTGGCTGGGAAGGGGGAAGTCTGGGCTTCCCTGCTAAGGCTGTCGTCCCCGGGACCCGATCCCGGATAAGTGGGAGAGAATGGACGGAACATTGATTGACCGCAGGGTTGTTTTTGTGGCACTGACAGCCATACAAATGAATGAAAACCTTTTTTCAACTTTATTCTCATGTAAAAGTACACTTAAAAATAAGCACATTTTCTCACTGACCAAAACATTCAAGTCATCAGCATAAAAAGCCTGCAAGTGACACGACCGCTTTTCAGAGTCCAAATTGCGTTCAAATAAAGTGTGAACACTTTCAATTGTGATAACATGAAAGTGGAGGCTGTGTGTGTTGAGGTGTGAACCTCATTTTAAGGTGTGACCTTGCATCGTATGGGTGCCCACTAACACCTTGGAGCAAAAGAAAATAAAACTATGTCCTGCCCCACCCCCAAATACCCCCCCCATAAGTGGGCTTCCTTTCTGCAAGCTCGCTGACGTCACAGGAAAGAAATCACCCGCAGCCAGCAGTGTTGGAAAGAACATAGTGAATACAGAAGACCCCCCCCCCCACCCCCGGGTGGACTGGGTGTGTCCTTTTTGCTCCGAGGTTGTTTGTGGCCTGAGGGCCAAAGCAGTCGTGACGGAGCAGATCCCAACTGTGGGAACCAAAATGGCCAAAGCGGCCGGTGCCCCTGCCGCGTCTTTGTGTGTTAACTAATCAGAGGCCCCACACGGGGGGCTTGTCACTGCAACACAGCAGGGGGGGGGGGGGTCAACTGCCATCCTGCTAACAGGCCATACCAAGAGCATTTCAAGCTGGTTATCACTTCGGGGGGCTGATGAGGAAAGGCAGAACGACAGGAGTGAGGCCAGCTTTAAAGAGGCTATACGGACGAAGAGCAGGTGTTATTTTAAGAAGCGCCACCGAAAACGTTGGAGAAGGCATTTCACGAGGCCCAAAAAAAGAAGAGAAAACAAATCGCAGGTGTGGAAACGGGTCGCTGTATGGACTTGAATGACAACACGTCATTTCTGCGGTGACGCATTCCTTCCACTTGTGTAGGAGTCAAATCCCACCCATGACCTCATGTGCCTTTCTCACAAGGATATCCCTCTCTTTTCGAGGCACAATGAGGCAGCTTCCTGTTTTGAGAAGCCACACTGCAGCTCTCGCTCACACTGGCCCTCCACTTACGTAACGCCCTCGTCCTTCGCGGTCCCGTCTACACCGATGTCGGTGAAATTGGATGACCTTCGATCATCGCTGACCTTGATGAGATCGCAGGGAAGTATTACAGGAAACAATGGATTGGTTGGCCAGCATTTTGGTATACCTGAACAACCAGGGAACACCGACCCTGTTTATCATGGGTGGGCGGGGGGGGGGGGTCATTCCAAACACCCCTGTGATGTGGAAAATTAGCTACAAGAGAGAACCAAACATTTGAGAAATTTACCCTGAAATGTCAAACTAGCAGATGAGCGACAGGACGCTGCAAACATTCACGCCACGTCAACTGCGGTCGCTTGGTTCACACTCGACTCGTCCCGAGTTACGACACGCACGCTGCGATGGCAACATCGAAAAAATCCGTAGCAGAGCCTTCAACCTGCTCTCAAACGAGGCTCATCCCTTTCGTCATCCATGACAGTTAAGGTTTGGATGAAGTATTTTAATCACAGAGGATTTTGTGATTGTAATTTTTTTTAATTTGTGTGTTTTTGACTCTATATTTGTAATGCATAGCACTTGTTGCAGATGTCTTCATTTGTATTCCATTGCAAGCATCAAACTGTTTTCAGTTGCCTTACCTGGACGAACAAAGGTGAAACGTATGACTCCACGAAATACATTTCGTCAGATGGATGTGATGGCGTCATTCTTCCACTTCGCCTGAGGCCAAACTCGAAAACAACTCGTACAAGGGTCAAGGCGGGGAAGGAGAGGGACGTCTGAAGCGCGGAACAGCCCATTCAGCGCGGACTGCTGGCCAGGGTCGCGTCATTCCCACTCGCGTCGCTGTCGTGCGAGGACCTCGTCGCAGTCAGTCTTCCTCCGCTGCTACTTTTTCTTTTTCCCCCCCCGATTTGTACAGGTGCGTGAAAACTTTTTTTAAAAAAGCTGCTTTGACCAAACTTCGATTTTACTTTGCGATGTGTCATTTGTTGAGTCACGCGCTTATTTATGCAAAGTAAACTCGCTCGATCTTTTTTTTTACTCAGCCGTTCTTATTAGGAATAGTAAAAGTTACGAATTACGTCGTGCCGTACTATAGTTTTGTTCGCGTTAGCACGCGCGCACACACAGGCTGTTTAAATCACAAATGAGCCATTTTGAATCATGCGTGATTACTTTGATGTATTTTAATCCAGGATGCACGTAGTCGTTTTGGTCAACTTGATGGGATTCTATTTCTGGGATTTCAGCAATTTGGTATAGCTTAAATAATGATAAAACTGGTCCAAAAGCATAATTTTTCGAATTCATGATGTCTTATTTGTATATTCCGTTCATTTTATGCAATTTGGGGGATTTGAAATATTGACTCTCATTCACATTCAGACAGCTTTCACCCGCAACTTGGATGCTTTTGCCAGTTAATGTAATATTGACTCTCATTCACATTCAGACCGCTTTCACCCGCAACTTGGATGCTTTTGCCAGTTGTTAATTTATTGCTGTGGTTAGCTGTCACTTTCACATTCTGGTGGCTTTTCCCATCATGATTATTTAGTGTTCTTCGGATGAGATCGTTCAAATGCATTCTTTCTGAAACGCTCATTTGCTTTTTCCCTTTCTTGACACGTGCAGGCTGGCTCGCGTCGCCCCCTTGTGTGCAGTCCAGGAACTGAAAAATGTGATCGAAGCCCAAAGCGCAGGAAATCCTTTATGACAGCATCAAAGGAAACACTCGCATGCAACGGCTGGACACCTTTCCCTCAACCGTTTTAAAATTCTTTCCAAAGAGGAAAGCAATGCACCGCCAGAGGACTCTATGACCGTGCATCTGAGGATTTAATTTTCAGAACTTTTTATCAAAGGGTCTTGAAGTAAGAGTGACAGAGCGGCAACATGTCGACGGACTCGTTCCACGCCGATTACGGCGTAGCAGCTCCATCCGAGATGGGCATCTCCACGTCCACGTCCACGGGAAACCTGCTTCGGATGTTTCGGGAGTACCAGAGTAACGCGGTCATCCTGGAGCACTACAACTTCACAGGCAAGCTGAAGGAGAACAAATACAAGGAAGGACTCAAGCCGGAGACCATCGCCTTTCTGCTGGTGTGCCTGCTTATCGTGTTGGAAAACGCCGTGGTGCTGGTGGCCATTTGGAAGAACAAAAAGTTCCATCTGCCCATGTACTATCTACTGGGCAACCTGACTCTCTCCGACCTGCTGGCGGGGTTCGCTTACATGGTCAACCTGATGACATCCGGCGCCAACACGTTGCACATGACGCCCGTGTTGTGGTTCCTCCGGGAAGGGGGCGTGTTCATCATGCTGGCGGCGTCCGTCATCAGCCTCCTGGCCATCGCCATCGAGCGCCACGTCACCATGGTGAGGATGAAGCCGTACCAGGGCGACAAGCAGGGCCGGATGTTCGCTCTGATCGGAGCCAGCTGGGTGTTGTCCGTGCTGCTGGGCGTCCTGCCCGTTCTGGGTTGGAACTGCATGGGTCGGCTGGACCAGTGCTCCACCGTCCTGCCGCTCTACGCCAAGAGTTACATTCTCTTCTGCGTCACCGTCTTCATCGGCATCCTCATGTCCATCGTGGTCCTCTACGTGCGCATCTTCCGCATCGTCAAGTCCAACACGCAGCGCCTCGGCTCGGGCCCGCAGAGGAAAGGCCTGTCCCGGAAGTCGCAGAAGTACATGGCCCTGCTCAAGACCGTCACCATCGTGCTGGGGGTCTTCATCGCCTGCTGGCTGCCCCTCTTCATCCTGCTGTTGCTCGACTTCTTCTGCCCGACCAAACGCTGTCATGTGCTCTTCAAGGCCGACTATTTCCTGGGCATCGCCATGTTCAACTCCCTCCTCAATCCCATCATCTACACGCTGACCAGCAAGGACATGAGGAGGGCCATCCTGCGGCTGCTCTGCAGTCGCTGCCTGTTAACCAAAGACGGACAAGTGAAGAAGATCGGCATGCCCTTCCTGGAGTGCAGCACCAGTAAGACGGACGCCGCTTCTCACAGGCTGGAGGGACTGGAGAACACCGTGTCTTCTGGCAATTTGACACCTTCCACGATAAAAGCCATCTTGCCCAAATTGTCCAAGACATGACGCGGACTTTGTATGCGAGCAAGGGCGAGGAGAAGCATGACCACTGACTGAGGTGGGATGCACGTGATCAAACCGAACCACGTCCAGAGTTACGGGAACGGGATTGCACTCAACCTTTCTGGTATTACCCATCGCTGAATGTGAGAGGGGGTTTGGTTTAACATACCTTTGATTTTTGTAGCCATTCTCTTACTGAATGCAGGTGCGCATCCATGCCGCCAGAGGTGATGGTGAATTCATACTCACAAGAACGGAATTCAAATGGTCTGCCGTGCGCGCGGGCGTGGTCGCCATCGGGAATTTTGGGAGCGCTCCCGTACGGCCGGTCCGTTCCAGGCGGAGATCGTCGCGCTTCGGGGCTGCTGGTTGTACAGCTCAGCTCACCACAGCGCGGTTTACGGCGACGCGTTTCCGCTGCACTTCGTGCCGGCCTAATGGCAAAAACTGTATCGGCCCGGTTAATAGCATGACATCGTATCCAGAACAAGACGTGGCGTTTCCCGTTCTTTTATCGTGACATGTAGCTCTTTATTGCAAGAATAGTTGACATGTGTTCTTTCTTTTCCTCGCCTTTTGTCACATGAATGGCGACTTAAGCTTTTAGGCGGCGCACCCTTGTAGAGGGAGGCAAAACGTAGCCCTGATTCGGCCGCCAGTAACGTAATCCCGTTGTCAGCAACTGTAATGCTTCACAAGGCCAATGTTAAGCAACAGTCTGGTGGAATGCCATTTCATCTCACCGCTGTTTACTTTTGAACAAAAACTGAAATGGAAGAGTTCACCATTGTGCAGATGTTTCACATAAATTACAGCCAATTACGCTGTCCATCCAAAAGAGCGGAGCCAAAGCCAGAGCATGAGATTTCGCCGTATCTCCACTCCTTGTGTGGCAGATAATGATACGTTGCTGCAAACTGGGAGCATCCACACCCAATCTTTGCAGCCAAAAACCATCTTAAGTTTGGTCAGGAGAAACGCAGGGTAGCGTCCCCCCCCCACACACACACACGACCCGCCACAGCTGACATCAGAGACCGGGCAGCCATGAGACACGCTGAAGACGTCATGCGGGTCTCTTGGTTGGGTTTCAGCTTTGGGGGCTGAAGAGCCTTGAGAACTTCGTTCGCGAAGAAAGTTCCAAGTTGACGGTGGTGCATGACGTGAATGGACCGCCCACCTATCATCGTCATCCCCCCCTCTTTGACGTTAATGTCCAACGCAACAGCAATCTGCACTGCATTTCATCGTAGCAACAGATATGTGAGCATTTTTTTTTTAGCTTGCGGATGTGTAAAGAGAAACCATATTTTGTGGTTAGATCTTGTGTAAATATATAGCTCGCCCTTGAGTTTATCGTAACTGTTTTTAACGTAAATGTCCTAAGTTATGTCCATTTCTATGTGTGCACTGAATAAACTATTTGTATTGATATTTGTACATGTTGCCAGAGTGAATGAGTCCAGATTTGTTTTTGAAGTGAGCTTTTCACCGTCTAAAATTGCACTTTTGTAAAAACATACATTCATGCTATCCTAAAAACCTATTTGGAAAGAGTAAAAACATCAATATGAAATAAAAATATAAATATGAAAAATATTTGAGGGGAAGAAAAGGATTCTGCAAATGCAGTGGCTCTTCCCCCCTACTCGCATTCTGAAGTGGAATACAACAGAGGAGGAACAATAACAACTGTACAATACACAGTTTTTTTAATTGTGACTGTAATTTAAAATAGTGAACAATACTTAATAGTTTTGGGGAGAAGAACACGCCGCAGAACTAATTACATGATCCTATTTTCTGAATTTGGTCATGTGATATTGCAAGATGAGCCCTGAGCAACTATGAGGTCATTTTCAGTCGACATCAAGTAGGAAAATGGCTGCCCCTCAGGTGGATTAAAAAATAATAATAATAAATTGATATTTTGGACAACAATTGAACGTTTGCTTTTACTGGAGTTGCACTGGATGCTTTTCTTGAAGTGGCTGAGCAATGAAACTGAAATATCTCAAGGAAGAGCATTACTGGCTACAGAATAAAATAAGAATGAATCTATTCACTTTTTTTAAAAGGTTTAGTTGCACAATAAAGTTTGTACAACAGTAAGTAGGCAAGTACAAACATAATGATCAATGACAGAACTACTATACCAATAAACTGCATAGCGGTATTATAAAACATAGCGACACCTAGTGGTACATCAAGACACCAGATTTTAGTTTCACTATTTGTGCCATTGTTGTATGGGAAGGACAAACATTGCTCACTGGTGAGTTGCACAAATGCATTCGTTTACCATTCATCGCTTACAAAGTTCCATAACTGGTCAGCAATTTCCCTCTGAGATTTGACTTTGGTGTCGATACTGATGGGAGTTGCCACATCTGGCCCATAATGCACTACAAGCAGAGAAACGTGATTGAAATAATGCCCACAGACCCACACTTCAATTTCCTCACCACAAAACAGTACCTGCTTTAAGGATGTGAGGCTCTGTGTCATATTCCCACTTGATCCTGGTTATGAGGTGGTTCAGCCTTACAACATATCTGTTCATGAAGAAAAAAAAATACAATGAGACAAAATCTTAAGTAACACAATTACTGGGAGAGAATGAATGCAGTAAGTGAAGTGAGGATGGGCTACATCGACACAGCAATGACTGAAAAGTGGACACTCACATTGCAGATGGGATGATCTCAGTGGTGTCTTCGTCCACCTCATTTTGCAAAGCTGTGAGCTCGTTTTCCGAGCTCCTCAGTCGTTCCAACTCGCTCTGCAGAAATCTGAAGTAGGCGTTAAGGTCAGGGTGCTGACTGAAAAAAAAACACGAGTGAAATTCGTTTTTCACTGCAACACTAGTCAGATGAATTGTCGATGATCTCATAGCTTTTCGTCCCAGCGGCAGCCTGAAATTAGGTGGAAGGGGGGTCGCCTCCAAATTTCAATATTGTATGCGGCAAAAACAGGCCATGTTAAAGGATACTGTAAGTCTGAGTCCAGCAGTTGATTCTTGGCTGTGAATTGTCTCAGCTGATCCTCCAAGCTCTCCAGTTCTTTCTCCTGTAGCAGCTTCTCCTTTATGTCAGTCAATCGGTGCACCAAACTTTCCTCTTGCTGAACCACATCTGGGAGTGAAAAGTAATTGTCATAAAGAGTTGCCCCCAAAACTGTCCAAGGGATGAAGTGGACAAGCAAAACGGGTTGCATGCCGACTCCAGTCAGATATACAAAGGAAGATATTTGGTTGCGGGAGAAAGAAGCTGGGGTCCGCAGTGTGGTACGAATCAGAAGTTGGCCATTAAGAGCAGGTAGACCCAGAAGTAAAAACACAGCAAAGTCATTGCAATTTGAATGAATCCATACCTTTGAAAATCTGTGTCACAGTCCCTCTTGTCACCATGTCTCGATCAAAAAAGGCTTGCTGTTCGTTTCTCACTCGAATTAGCGTCTCAGGTTGACTGCTGGTCAGGTCCAGCAGCGTATCCAGAGACTCCTGTAAGTCTTGAAATTTATCCGTTAACATTTTTGATGACACTGGGCAGAGGGAAGGAAAGCAGCCTTATTAGCGGTGGGAAGTAACCATGCGCAACTACTTTTGCTATTGTACTTCATGAAATTTTGCAGGCTCTTGTAGCGACTTTATTTTTATGATGACTATTAATTGCGACGACGACACGGCGTAAGGAAAACAACTGAGCTTGATCAAAAATGTCCATAAACGTTTGTAAACCATTTTGTTAAGTCACTACACAATTACAACTTTCGAACAGACATCATCGCTAGTAAAAAAAAAGCACATTCAATGAAAGGCGCGTCTGCATCGACGTGGATAATCGTTGCGGCAATACTTTAACTACGGTTAAGACACAAAAAACGATACAAAAGACTAACGCGACATCCCCGGATTTATGTATGACTTGTGAAAATGGTAACTTGAGAAATATTGTAGAGTAAAATAACCAAAGTTCACCAACCGTGCTGCTCCTTTTCCTTGATTCAAATAATCGGTGCCCGCGAGTCCTTTTCTTCTTTATTGCGCCCTGGTCAAAGTTGGACGGCCTGGTGTTTTAATACCGCCCCCTACTGCACAGGAGTGAACAGGCGCGTGATGCAGGTTATCGCAACACATCTTTCTTTATGTAGCGCTTTCACACCGATACGAAAAGATGAAATGCAATTAAGTGTTCCTCCCTCAACTACAAAGACGAGTGGCTCATACATATTTGTCAAGGGTTGAAGTACTCTCAGTTTCTATTGCAGGTTGTGGGCCACAATCAGGATCAGACCTCACCACCTCTTGGGATGAACTGGCAAAAAACTTTTTTTACTCCCTCATCATTTGTTCCCTTTTATTGGTAACTCATGTATTACTTGTTCCGGTTTTCTATTTCTCAATTAATGTCACTGTCAAATATAAAATCGGTGTAGCCCCAGTTAAGCACCTCCTGCAAAAAATATATTGATAAATTAATTTCTCAGTCAACACCCCCCCCCCCACTCCTTCAGAAAGGGAAAAATGGACCCATCCCTGCTCTTAAACTCAGACCACTGGAGAACAAGCTCTGATTTCCTTCATGTGTCACCATTTGAAACAATCTTCCACATTGCATTGCTCTTTTATTAATAAAGGTGACGTAAAAGTGGAAAAGTAAATGTCAACACATTTGCACCATGAAATGTAGGCTACTGCTGCAGTTTCCTTTTTAGTGACTGTTAGCATTGTTTTTGTTTCTGCTTCTCTTTCTTCGCTTGATCTTTCCGTTTTTGCCTTCCAAGCTGTCTGAAGAACAGTCTCTTCGGGTTCAAACCGTACGCCTTCAGTCTCTGTTTGCTAAACTCCTGACCTCCAATTTTCACCCCGGCCGATCCTGGTTTGCCGCGTGCCCCTGATTGCTTCTGCTTCTTCTTGGCCAATTTGGTCTCAGCTTCATCTTCAACCTGAACCTCTTCTTCATTGGCAGGAATTGGCTTGGGTTTCTCCTCTTCTCGTTTGATCTTTTTCTTGAGAAACTCCTCCTCTGGTTCCTCATCTACATCAGACCCAAACTGCCGAAGAGGTTGGGCGGTCTCATCCAACGTGTCCATCAGAGAGGCTGTGCCGCTGTCCTCGGCTTCTCTGTTGTGCCTTTCGGCGTTTTTCACACGATCGCGTCGCTTCTTTCCCATCGTGGGTTTTGCATGTGCCACCTCATTATCTTTTCTGGAGATTCAAAGGAGATCATGATGTAAGCAATGTCAGCAGCCATATATGAGGGTAGAAAAAGAGCACCGTGTTCAACTCACTCAGAAAACAAAGAAACCAATATTTCTTTTTTCTTCTTAAAATTCCGCGATTTCATTTTGTAGTTCCTCAAATCATTTTTCTCCTCCTGGTCAGATCTGGGGTTAAAAAAAAAAAAAGAAGGCAAAATTAGCAGAAAGATACTAAGAGCTATGAATTAAATTGCGCGGTGAAACCATCGTGGCCTGCAAGGCCACAACACTACCAGAAGCACTGACCACAGTCTCAATTCATATTTTTGCTCCATGAAATTTGACCAATTTTGTGCCAAAAGTCTATTCACTTCATTTTGTAGCGTCGCACTTGGCTCCACTGCTTCCAGTATGTTCGTATTGTTGTCGAATCAAATTTCAGCCTCGATGGGCTGCCACGTCAACCGAATCTGCCCCGCATCTTCGGCATAAGTGGCATCGGCCAACGTACGCTAACTTACACGACATTAGCAATGAGGCCTCCCGTGTTGCTGTGCTCTGGCTGGTCAGAGCAAAATAGATCTGCCGTGACCCGCACATCATAAATCGGTACTCCTGCAAAGGACGATGTATTGAATTGAAATGTATGTTTGTCATATTTTGGATAATATCGGACTTTGAACTGCTCCGGAGGACATACAAAGGTGGTATTAAGACAGGTCCACTGAAGAATCAGGGTACCAAATACGTGGCTTGTCACTGTAAGGCGCAGTACCTGAACATGCAGGTCTTCCTCAGAGAGCACCATCGATTGAGATCCTTATCATCAGCACTCAAGATCTGTGGAATTTAGAGAGCCCATCAACAAGTCTCGTGAAAGCATTTGTGATTTGCGTCGTCGGGGCAGCTCGGCGGTCTGCTCAGAGAGAAGATTACAGTTGATAATCATTCCCCGGTCAGAGCGCTCCCCTCGAGGAGGCAATACCAGGTCATCGACAAAGGCTCATCACTGCAGCACATTGTAATCGACTCCCATTAGGGCAACGAATTCGGAAAAATGTCAGCATGAGTGGGTGTTGAGTCCGATTCCATGCCTATTGCGACACCTTCGAAAGCGGGACCATCGATCTCGCTCGGGGATAATCTCATTTCTCCACGTCAACGAATCAATCGCAACGACACTGCTCGCACTTTTGTCTCATCTGTATTTGAATGAGTCTTTTGGGACCGTGTGTGGTGTTGAAATCAGGTTCTAGATGGAGTCCCTCAACTTGGCCACTGCAAAGACAGAGAGAGGTCCGCACTTGACCGTATCTTTGTCGAGTGCAGAAGTGTATGCCTACCTCATCAGTGGAGAGACCAAAGTCATTGGGCAGGACCTCCCTGTAACGAAACCTGCACGGGAGGTCGTCGATGATGTCCTCGTAGTCCAGTTTGTAGTATTCATCCAGGTACTGCTCAAAGCTCTTCTCCTCTGAAATACGACGGGTACTCATTTAGATGACCGCAGCATTAAACGTGCGGCATGCCGGAAAGCCGGACGCTTACGAGGATCGAACACGGGCTTGGTTTTTGTGACTAGTTCTGCAAAGTGAGATTTCTTTTTCTTCTTGCCCATTTGAGGTATATCCGCCTTCTTCAATTTCTTCCTCTCCTTTTTAGACACGCTGCGCTGGCTGGGGTCATAGTCGGCATCCATCTGTTTCAATACATGGACAGATGAGTCACCAATTTCTAGTCGAGCTCTGATTGAAGCCTCGTTCGCAGACTGGCCATTGAGACGACTGGTACAACGCGTGCAAATGCTACTATTGGTCCCTTTGCACATTTGAACTATTTCTGTTCTCAGACTTGTCCAAATTAACACTGACTGTGATCGTGTAAGCGCATTCGATTGTAAATTTGAGTTCTGATGAAGGCCACACTGGCCCTGAGCCCTGCTCCAAGCTAGCAAATCCACTCAGGTATACGACAAAGTCGAATGAACGTGAGAGTAGCGAGATGAGGGTTCTGGTCACCCAGGATCAAACCTACAATGAAATCCTGGTCATCACAGTGCGGCTCAGGGGCATCATAGCCCGCCTCGTCTTCATATGTTTCTTCTTGCCCTTCTCCCGTCCATTTGTCCCAGTTCCAGTGCTCTGTTTCGCACACAGACAACAAAACATGTTAATACGAAGACACGTCTTAAGCCATCAAGCAACGCTTGAGATTCCTAAGGAAAAAAAAAAAATGTTTTGAATGATTAATAAGGACTAACAAATGAGCAAACAGAAATGAACAGACGTCTTGATTTGCACCAGACTGGGCACTTTGAGCAATTTGCTGCCCACCTACTATTCAAATGGTGAATGAAGAGACTTTACCCTCAAGTTGATTGTCGTCTTCAAACTGAGGCTTCTCCTCTTCTTGCTCTTCGTAGTAATTATCCCCAAAGAATTTCTGCAAATACAGAGAAGCTTCATTATATCATAAGAGAACCAGCCAAGAGGTTACCAACATGTGAGGCTTCGACCCGATGCTTTCAAATAGGACACAACAGGGGAATCAGCAGGTTTTTATTCATCATTTGGAATTTTGATGACTAGCTTGTGGCTGAAATTTAATTGAATAAATTTAAAATCGACGCAATTACATCTACGAACCAAGAAGACGTACGACGGTGTAATGGCTGAGAAACAATGGTTCCAAATATCCAGCACGTGCCTCCCTTTGTGTGATTGTGCACCGACCTGCATGAGCTGGTCATGATGTTGTGGATCAAAGTCTCCGTCCAGATCAGCCTGACTAAAAGCCAGATCGTCATTGCCAGTGAGCGCCTGAAGCGTCTTCAGCTTCTCCACGATCTCGTTTCGCTTTAAGTTCTTCAGTTGCTTCAGCTGCTCCCGTTTCTGCTGTTTCTCCTGTGAAAGGAACAGAAAACGAGGAGGGCAGACAGTTCATTTTCAGCGCCGTGTTGCTGCGTGCCCAACAGATCCAACCTTGCGGTACTACTTTTGACATACCATATTCTTCCTTAACTTCACTTCCTCCCTTTTGCGTTTTCTGCGCTCGTCTTTGGAGCGCACCGAGGTGGCAATGTTGCGAGGGTAGGTCTTGATCTGATGAGCATCGGGCTCCTCAAAACGGAAGTTGTAGCTTCGCTCGAAGCTCTGCTGTTGCTCCAAGAACGTCTCGCCTTCCTCTTCAGAATCATCCACATCGTCCTGAACCACTTCGTCGTAAGTCGGGATCCTCCAAACGAAAAAGTTGTATTGTGTGATTGTTCGTGCATATTTTCACTACACCGTTCAATACCAAGACATCCATCCATTCATTTTCATCACTGCTTATCCTGCTCAGGGTCAGAGTGAGCTGGAGTTGATCCCAGCTGACACACGCACGCACGCACACTACCTCTCGTCATCTTCGTCGTCGTCATCATCATCTTTGTAGCGTTTGTTTAGAACATAGTCTCGGAGGAAACATTCCTTCTCGTCCAGTTGCGGGTCATTCCAGTAGTCTCGTAGGTATTTCTGTCAAATCATCATCAAATCAGTTAATTCATGCCTTTGTCACATCTCGGCTGGATGACTATAATGCATTTTACTTTGGAGTCAGCCAATTCTCCTTTAAGAGTCTTCAGTTGGTCATCTGGTCAGTCATTATTTTTGATCCGTGTATAGCGCTTTGCATACAGCGGTGGTTGTTTTAAAGTGCTCTCCAAATACAGTTCAGTTGAGTTGAGTACATCCTTTCCCTATTAGTTTTAAGTTTCTTGCACCATCATGACTTAGATCCACGGTTTTAGGTGGAAAATAATTACTGTGGCCACTTAGACGGAACTGACTCGAATCAGACGAGATGTGGCATCGTATATGACCTTGGTGGACGTGTATGTCTGGAAACCAGATTGCTGTAAGCCCGAACAAGATAAACAGCAGTCATCAATTCTCTCCAATGACATTTACTCACCATGTCCTTCACCTCTTCAGGTCGGTCCAAATCACCTTGCCCTTTGAGCCACTCCACATAGTCTGCCTCCTCTTTGTCCTAAAAACATATGGACAATTATTTATTTAACGCTGTGCGAGTGGGGGCACACACATTGAGCTACTGACTATTTTTTAGGTGGTACTTGGTGTCAAAAGTTTGACAACCACCGCCCGAGAAGTATTTCTGTTAATGATAGAATGAACATTATATATACCTGATTGTGTAAAAAAAAAAAAAAATTCATTCGAAAGTTAAGTGTGGCGGTGGCTGCTTGAGGGAATTGGGGAGTCATTTGTCATATTATGTCCTGGACGGAGCTTCACAGTCCAGCTGCTGACATTCTCCGTTCTGACCTTTTCTTCCTGTGTCTTCATCCTCCTAGTTAGCAGCTGGGACACTCCTCCTTCCCCACTGTCGTCGGCGCCGTCATCATCATCGCTGTCTTGGATGAACTTTTGGAAACTGAAAGAAATCGTTGTGATCGGGTTTGTGTTAGCTGTCGTCGAACGGATTTTAGTCATTATCACTTAAGGTTGCCTTGTTTAAAAACTGCCTTTGACTTGATTTTAATTTTTTTTCAACATCAAAAAGTATTGGTTACCTTGCTTTTAACTGGTTCTGCTCTTGAATGTAGCTGGGGGAAGAGGCCCTCTAAGAAAGGAGAACAACAATTAAAAAACACGTCCAAATGATTTGGCAACAGTCTTAGTTCAATACCCACTTCTCGTCTTTTGGCTGCCTCCTCTTCATCACTGTCGCTCTCCTCGTCGTCATATTTTCTGAAGAATCAAATGCATTGCAATTAAAGAAGTGTGGACAAAATCCGAAGAAACTTAATGCAACTACTTTCTGCAACTCCAACAACTGTAGGGCACTTATACATTGATCACGTTGTAAACACTAAAAAGCTCTTCCAACATATTCACAGTTACTTAACTCCAACCCATCCATTTTTTATAGCACTTCTCCTTTGGGTCGCTGGTGAGCTACCTTTGCTCACCCAACTTTGTGTGAGAGTACACCCTAGACTGGTTGCTAGCCAAACCCCTCACATTCACAACATTGATACATGCAGGTTAGGCAATGCCAGGATAGTGCTGCATTGAAATAGGATAGAGAACCACCTTTAGTAGGTCACATACCCTTCCTTCTCCAGTATGACTTTACGCTCATAGTCCTTCAGGTACATGGGCTTCACTTTTGACTTGGAGGTTGACGGTTTCACATCGGTGCTGGGTGCATCTGAGAGGGAGAGAAAGAAAACGTTTTGTCAGAGGTGAAGTCACTGACATTGTCGAAGCAACGAAAACGGGAAGAAAAAAAATTGAAATCAGCCTCAAATTGATCACCTGAGTAGAATTTCACATCCTTCTGATAGATCTTCGGGTCTTTCTTCTTCAAAAGTGACAACGTCCTGTAAAAGTCCCTTTCAACCTCTGGATCCAACTCCTACAGAGCGTCGAACACAATTAATGGCACCGATTGACTTAACTCTTGTTGACAAATCGACGAGGGGAAAGCGATACTCACCACTTCGCTGTCATCCGAACTGGATTCGGAAGAATCGGAGTCATCGTCCACTTCTCGGTCTCCATATCGATCTTTTACTGCAAATCAACACACAACATAAAAAGTCTAAAGACAACAGAGCCTCGGACAATAGCAAACCAGTTAGCTTCTTTCCACGTTAGCACACGAATGTTTTGACCAACCGTTTGCTAACATGAACACTTACGCCTCTGCAGTTCTTCCTTCTGTCTGTAAGTGTCATATTTCTTCGCGAATTCGGTGTTGATTTTAAAACCTTCTTCGTCAGACATGGTGCTGTCTGGCTGTCGAACGTGTCCATAAACCAGAAGCTAGTGAAGCTAGCATCACATTTGACGCGCGTGTGCAGAGGGGTATCACGTGGTTTCCGGTGCACGTACCTCAGTTGTCCTGTAGGGGGTGCACAAATACTGAAGTGGTGTTGTGTGCACTGTATGGAAATCATCCATCCATCCATTTTATCCATCCGTTTATCCACTTAAGGGTGACAGGCGTGCTGACGCCTCTCCTCGCGGTGTTCGGGCAGTAGGCGCGGGCCAGACAATCGCAGGGCACGCGTGGAGAAACAACAGTTCGCGCTCACAATCACACCAATGGCCAATTTGGAATGTCCAATAAACCTACCATGCACGTTTTTGGAATGTGGGATTTTTTATTTTTATTTTTTGCACTTCTTCTCATAACTGTATGTGGTTGCTAGATTTAATGAGGTATCAGTTGTTTGTGCTGTCATGTCTGTCTAATCTGGAGAATCAGTTGTGCTATCTGATGTACCTTAAACGACATCATAGCGAGGAGTCACTGTACTTAACAGAAAATGTCAGTCATTAATAGTGAAAGTATTTTTCCCCCGTTTTACCGGAATAATAGGGCGGTGACATTTAACCTTGTGCAGCCCAATTAATGATTAATAACGTCAAGGGATCAAATGCAGCATTTGTTTGAAAAACAGCGGATGTCTGCCGTCACTGCCAAGAACAACAAACGTAACCTCCAGGCCGAGAGTCCGTTTTTGAGTTTAGTCAAGGTGTGCTATGGCTCACGATGAAATTTTTATACATTTGCCTGTAACCGGCTGCCATGGTGGGGTTGTTGTTGCCTCTAGAAATGTCATGGCGCCCTTTCCCTCACACCCCATTTAGGTTATCAGGCTCTTTGCTTCGCTTCATGCTCGGCCTTGAACATTGCACATGACAACAGCAGAGCGGAGAGTCACTGAGCTGTGTGCTGCCCTTCTCATTGCAATGGTTGCAATTGCGCTCGTCTTTGCAACGACAAATCTGTGAAGGGTAAAAATGTTATTTTACTTTAATTTAATCGCACTCGATACATAAAGCACAAAGTGGACATTTCTTCAATATTAGAGTCCCAAATCAAAAGCAAATGCCATTGTACCCAATGCACCTGTTTGCCAGTGACTAAAGTAAGAAATGAAACTTCTTGAAGGACTGTGAAAATGCTGAATGTTAAAATAAAAACAGACCAAAGAAAAACCTTGCTACTGCATAAAATCCAGATAAAATCTTCTGTTGGTGAATGAATTGCACATATGTACAGTAACTTGACAACTAACCCTCAACACGAAATCGCTAATATAGATTAACAGTTAACAGCTAATAGAAAGTCTCGCCAAGCCTTCTGTTTGTGAGTTATTGTGACACCCTGGCCACCCCACCAAAATATTTCTAGCTCCTCCCCTGCCCAATTCCGTACACACAGAGAGACAGTAACTCCCACAATAAACCCACATGGACCACCCCAAAAAATAAAGGGGAGGGGCGCCCACCACAGTAGTGGTGCAAAGGGCGGAGGGAAGAGGACGAGGCTCAACCAAAAAGAAACAGAAAGGGCTCCCCCACCCCCCTCCCCAAACTGGAGGCCGGAAACGGCACGTGAGATGGGCCGCTTGGTACTCCCGCGGATGTGGGAACTCCCCCCGGCCCCAGTCTACGTCATCATTTTTGTTTAAATTCTACGTGGCAAACCTTGCTAACTAACAAGTGATTGTACAACAAATAGGAATAAATAAAATCAGGATACACCTCATCTTAAGAGGTGCTTGTCTACTTGCTCTAATTCTTTTTACTGCAAATGAAATAACCTGAATGAATGAGAATATTCCCAGGCATTCAAAACATGCTGCCTGGACATTCTTCAGTTTTGAACGTGAACCACATCAACGTGATTTCACAATGTGGGTGGATTTTCAAGAAGCCCGAAATTCCTTGGGTTTCGACTTGCAGCGAGCGTGACAGTTTTGCTTTCTCGGAAAAGGGTCTCCCTTTCCAAGAACTACCGTGAACCCTCCCCAAACACAAAGCACAAAACAGCACGTCACGTTTTCAATCACCCAGCTGTTCAACTGTGCAGTATGCTGCTGCACATCCAAAGTACACACCGTCTCAAAACTGTCTGGCGCATCTTAAACAATGTGGCGCGCCAAGAAAATAAAGACAATGACCCTGGAAAACCAACAAAGAATACGCCTTCCAAATGTGCTTTCACTGTTGTCAAATGTATAGATTTCTAAAAACACGTTTCCACTTTATGATATCCATATAGAATACTTGACTTTTTGTTGTGAAATAAGCTCTGCTAACTATATATTGCATGGGTCATTTCAGAAGGGCAGGACATTTTCTGTTTTGCTTGACCATAACCACTTTAAATACAGCAATAGTAGTAATTGTGCGAATTGCGCAGTAATTCAAATCCAAGTTAAGAATCTAAGAACCGCCGTCACAGCTTTGGAAAGAGCGTACCATATGAAACTGGCAAAACAATGCCACTTGTTACTATGTTTAACTTACACGGTGAAGCAAATCACAACTGCAGTTAGCTGTGAGTAACAAAGAGCTGAAACCTTCATACTGTGCCTGCTAAGGACAAAGTCAAGAGTCCAGAGAGGGTCTGTAATAAATAGAGGCATTTATTTATATACAGCAAATGTTGACAACAAAGGCTGCAGCACAGGTGCCTACTGAAAAAACAGAGCAAATATTTACATTTATGAACACCCTATTTACACACACTTAAACGACACTGGTAGTGGGTGGATGTAGAAAAAAAAAATCTACATGTATGTACATCTCACAATTCAATTCAAAATTCGCTACCTTCCACCTGAGAGTCCAAGAATAGCGAAAAACAGCATCTTTGTTGGCTGTGACAAGTCACTGATTTTATACAAAGTGTCTCCAGTACGGCGGACAAGTGGTTAGCATGCTGCAATACGTTCTCCTCCTAAGGAAGACTATAAATATACCCGTGTTGCAGTACAGCGCATTCGGCTCGGCCCCGCCGGTCACGCACGATTGCATCAAAGCCGTTCTGAAAAATGCAAAGGCCCTCTTCAGAGAAACATGTAGAAACTCAAGCGAATCTCTCACATAAAATGATCAAAAGATGGCAACAAGTTCACTTCCCGGCCAGCGCCCCAACACGATGCCGCATTCCAGTTGACGGTGTCGTTCCGAAGCCCGGATAAATGGGAGGGTTGCATCAGGAATGGTATGCGATGTACTATTCAAGGCACAAACCGGCGTGCGGCATTTATTGAGGGGCTTACTCTCAATCAATACTGAGGTGATTGCTGGTATAGTAATCATAGATCATAGACGACACTAAAACGCTTCGAGGCAAAGTAATCGGCGCTAACATTCTTACAGATTTCGACTGCAATGCGCATTATGCAAAGGCCCTCTTCAGAGACACATGTAGAAACTCAAGCGAATCTCTCAAATAAAATGATCAAGAGATGGCAACAAGTTCACTTCCCGGCCAGCGCCCCAACACGATGCCGCATTCCAGTTGACGGTGTCGTTCCGAAGCCCGGATAAATGGGAGGGTTGCATCAGGAATGGTATGCGATGTACTATTCAAGGCACAAACCGGCGTGCGGCATTTATTGAGGGGCTTACTCTCAATCAATACTGAGGTGATTGCTGGTGTAGTAATCATAGATCATAGACGACACTAAAACGCTTCGAGGCAAAGTAATCGGCGCTAACATTCTTACAGATTTCGACTGCAATGCGCATTCGGCATGAAATGATCATCTTGTTTCTGATTCACGAAGATTCACTAAACAGTTCACTTAAAAATGAAAGATTTTGGTACACTTCAAGTGGTAACTTTGATCATAAAGTGCAAAATATGCATCGATTTAGTAGCTTAAAGGGTCGTTTCAATCTCTAGCTAGATGTTAAGATAACACGTCACATGCCTAGTCCTGCCATAATATTCATGAACGGGCTGTAAAATCAGAGGGTTGCATCAGGAATGGTATGCGATGTACTATTCAAGGCACAAACCGGCGTGCGGCATTTATTGAGGGGCTTACTCTCAATCAATACTGAGGTGATTGCTGGTATAGTAATCATAGATCAGAGACGACACTAAAACTCTTCGAGGCAAAGTAATCAGCACTAACATTCTTACAGATTTCGACTGCAATGCGCATTCAGCATGAAATGATCATCTTGTTTCTGATTCACAAAGATTCACGAAACAATTCACTTAAAAATGAAAGATTTCGGTCCACTTCAAGTGGTAACTTTGATCATAAAGTGCAAAATATGCATCGATTTAGTAGCTTAAAGGGTCGTTTCAATCTCTAGCTAGATGTTAAGATAACACGTCACATGCCTAGTCCTGCCATAATATTCATGAACGGGCTGTAAAATCATCTCCAATCGTTAACGGGCTTGATTAAAAAACTATTCCGGCATTAACAGGTTTATTATTTTAAAAATAGCGTTGTTAAAGAAGCATATGCTGTACTAAAAACATTTGAATCTGACGTACAGCCGAACCTCTTTTCAACGCACCCCGTTGACAATGTTTTTACCCCTATAACGTTCACATTTCAAAGTCCTGATATCACATCATTCGTTTTCCATTGGCCGCTTACAAGCAACACCTTAGAAGGCAAACTTTATGATAACGACCAGATTTTTCCCACAAAATAGTGAAAAGGCCTTGGTTACGACGAACCGTGGGTAGCTAACTGCCGCCGCGACCTTGCTGATGAACAAAATGTACAGTGCGGGATTCCCCTCCGTTGCTTAGCAACGCTATTGATCGACTCCAACGTGAATTTCCTCGAGATTTTGTTGCTGTGGATATCGTTTTGCGATCGTGCCTCTTTGACGTACGACATGCGAGGTTAAGCTAGCTTTCTTTGAAGGCTGGGTTGTCCGCCTCTTCATCAAGGCTCACCACCTGTTTCTGATAAGACAAAAAAAATACAATGAGAAATAATTACAAGTACCGCATAGGGAATAAGTTTCAACAACAGAAAACAAAGCTGAACTGGCATGGACCTGCAATACAGGCTGAAACGTCGGCGTCAATGAGTGACGAAAACAGCCCAATGGACTTACTTTTGGATAGGAATAGCCATCAGAGTCGTGGTTCCTCCAAATGTGCACTTGGTCCTCTGTGGTTTTTTGATAGACAGGGTTGTCAAAGTGGATTGTGTTGGTGCTCTTCAGCTTGTAGTTTTTCCATAGCAGTACGCCAGCGAAAGCCAGAATACAAACGATCGCTACACAAAGATAACCTGAGTGAAGTTTTGTACAACGTCGCCGCTTATGGCTATTGGTGTCTGCGACCAAATCCACTCACCCACAGGGAGGACAATGTGCAAAGCAGTTGGGCTGCTGGAAGAGGTCGTAGGTCGCACCGCAGCAAACTCGTGGTGAGTGTCTGAAGACGAAAAGCACATACTGCAATCGGAAAGTCATGCATCTATTTTCATAAGACTATTGATAACCGATTGCATCCTGCGGTGCAGGAAATCTGAGCGCCAACGTATTTACTTTGATTTGAAAATGGCTTTCAGCTACTTCAACTGTCACTCCAATGCGATGATCCCTTTTGGAGGCATTTACCTGGAGACGTGACCGGAGTTTGTGTGGTGGTCCGGTTGGCTTTTGGTTTCGCCGGCTGTGGTGAAGTCCTCCGAAATTCACGCGTGGTGGTTCTGACCAGAGGTCTCGTGGTGCTGGTCACTGGCTTGATCACGCGTCTTGTGCTTGTGATGGGAGCGATGGAGGTGTGGGACTCGGGTGGGGCCGTGGCCAGTGCCGGCTGGCCGGTGGTCGGAATCCGAGGAGGCGCGGGAGCCGCAGGTGTCGACGCCACTGATTGAATATGATGAACAAGAGGAAGAGTCAATGATTGGGCGGAATACGATCATCAAAGTTGGATTGAGGTCAGACTTTTGGTCATTGACGTACCTGCTACACATCTCCTCATATTGCTTGCGAGCGTCATGTTATCAGGACAGACACATGTATATTTTGGGGGATGTCTGCCCACTTGTGGTGCTCCGAGGCACATGAATTCACAGCCACTATGATGCACCTGACACCAGTCAATCCCTGCAAAATCGGTGGGCGCTAAGATTATAATGAGGGAAATGTTTTCAAAGACAAATACCCACGTATTTCTTTTTTTTTTCCAACATGGTCAAGCTGATCTTTGTGCAAAATGTTGATGGTGAAATCTGACACATCCATTGGGTTGAAAATAGTTTTCCGTCCACTTTCCTTTGCAAACATTTACAGAATCCAACGCTTTCACATTAGCGGCCAATGCTGACGACTAACGGATCAAAACAAACTGATTGAGCCGTCATGGCAAAAGTAACCACGTACCAGCGGGCTGCTTCAGGTTATGGTAGAGAATAACGTCTTCTGGAGATGAAAGGTGCTCAGCCACTGGAACGATGTCTTGGCCAGTCAATCTATTAGCACTGAAGATGGCATTGTTACCGACGTCTGTCCAGAACACTCTTTCCTGAAGCGCACAAAGACGAGCAGATATTTATGACAACACGAGACACAACACGGCATGTATGGATTGAACGCAATTTCCATCTGGCGGGGAATAAGCACCTCAAAGACGGTGAGTGCCAACGGGTGGCTGAGCTTGTGTTCATCCATAATGAGGGTGTGCCGCCCCCCACCCTGCACGTCGATACTGGAGAGGGTGTGTAACTTGGAGTCTACCCAGTAGAGCCGCTGGTTCAACAGGTCTGGGAAAAGTTGAGGGAAAACAGGTCAGTCGGTCATGACTCAAACAGAGAGGAGGAAATGCAAAGAAACCGGAAGCATCGGCCGTACCGAGCGTCACTCCGTTGGGCCACACGATGCTGTCAGTAACCAGAGCGAAGCGGTCACCTCCATTCAGACCGCCCTTTTCAATTTTAGCAGGATTGCCCCAGTCAGTCCAGTAAACAAAGCTGGCCGGACAAATCACACGCACGCATTATTGATGAGAACCATCTGTCAACGCGCAAGCTCTTGTCGGAGGGCGGCTTACTTGCTGTAGGGGTCCACCACGATTGCTCTGGGTTTGGATAAGCCTTGGGAAAAGAGAGTCTTACGACGTTCACCTTCAGCGGTGACCACAGAGACGGTTCTGCGAATGCTATCGGTCCAATACAGGTTGCGATGGATCCAGTCAAAGGCAATGCCCTCAGGCGCATCAACGTCGTGAGAAACCATGACTGTGTGATGAGTAGAGTCCTGCGCTGAATCCATTTGTGTTCTGGGAACAAAGTAAAGAAAGGGGAAAAAACGTTTTACGTGGAGAAATGGAAGAGTATCAACCACTGTAATAAAAGGTTTGATATCAAGTCGATGCAGTCACGTACGTCAACAACGTACAGAACTCATTGTACAGGAAGCATGTTTGCTGGGCTACAAGTTTGCTGGGCTACGTGTTCATGGACCAAAGTCCGCTTGGCCTGCCGATACTCATCAGCTGTTTCCAACATGCCAAGAAAGGCTTGCTAGGAGTCCTTCTACAGCTTGATCGGTCAAGCCCCTTACGGCTGCGACCAACAACAGCCACCGACCAAATCGTCGTGACTCTGGTTGGCAGAGAAGATGGCCCACTCTGCCTCTATGTCCCCCATCTCTCCTGGGACGTGGCCCAAGTTGTGCCAGAGGTGAGAAGTGAAACTCTTCCTGACAGCGGACTTCAGCAAGAGATTCCAGCAAGATCCTCACAATATGAAGTCCTTTGAGACTCATGTTTCGGCAAAGGGGAAAAACGTGTTCCAATGTTTTCCTCATCATAGGGTTCTTTTTCTGGACCCTCATCAGGGACCCGTTTGACCCTACCAGGGGGCACAAAGCCCCTGACAGCTTCACTTTTTCATTTCAAACCTTTGTTTGTCAAATATATTCTTCATATGTCTTGAATATTACAAAGAAGAAACGGACATCTTTTGACACTGGCGGGTTAAGGTCAGGTTAACGTGAACCCTACCCCTGGCTCATGATCCCACTGAGTCAACTTCAATGACGAACAATAAAATCTCCCTCACCTGTAGATCTTCTTTTCGGAGATATCTGACCAGTAGATTTCTTCGGTGGCCATGTTCATATCCAGAGCCACAACCTTCTTTAGACGAGGAAGGACCTGGACGTACTCACTTTTGTCCAAGGTCATTTTTCTGACCTCATGGTGATTGGTGAAGAGAAGGTAGGCAATCGTACCTACAGGTTTAAACATTGGTTCTACGGTCAATATCCAGAGAGAGGGAACACGGAGAGATGTTTATTTATGTATTTATTTTACCAATGGCCTTGCAGGCTTTGGTTGACGGGTCCACTTGGTAACCGTCTTCACACTCGCATTTGTAACTGCCCATCTGGTTGACGCAGATTTGGCTGCAGGTGTCTGGGTCGGCACACTCATCAATATCTGATGAAAAAACGAAGAGGGCATGACATTTTTCTCATTTGTTTCGGTGGCAGGCATCACACCTTTTCTTTTTACCTTCACATTGCTTCTTGTTGTTGGCCAGTTGATATCCAACGGGACAAAGGCACTCAAAACCAATTTTAAGGTTGTTGCAGACATGAGAGCAGCCGCCATTGTTGACGAGACATTCGTTGAGGCCTGAAGACAGAAAAGTTTTGTTTTACCATCGATTTTTTGTTTTTCCTGAGGACATCACAGGTCGACTCCATCCTGATCGCTGCCAGTTATGAACGACGATCTGAGTACTCACCGCATTCCCTCAGAGGCTCATCCGACCAATCCCTGCAGTGTCGCTCCTTGTCGCAGACCTTATCCATGCTGATACACTCCCCGCTGCCACACTTAAATCGAGTCGCGTCGTCACACTCGGTTGCTGCACGGACAATGACAACGTCAGCGAAAGGGAAGTTAACACGTAATCCAAAGTGGCTGCAAGAGGGAGTCGCTTCATACCGTTGACACAGCCCCGTTCATCGCTCATGTCCCTGCAGTCATACCGGTGGTTGCATTGGTGGCTTCCGTGAATGCAAGCGCCATCGTCACATTGAAATTCGTCCGGACGGCAGGTGGGACGGACTACACGGATGTAATCAGACAAGCCTCGGGTTGACGTGGCAGTTTGGAAGCCATTTAAAAAGCATTTGAAGCAAACCATCACACATACCACAGTCGGCTTCATCAGATCGATCGAGGCAGTCGGCTTCTCCGTCACACCTCCAGTTCTTGTGAATGCACTTCCCACTGTCGCAGCGAAATTCCATGGAAGAGCAGCGGTGAGTTGGAGAAGAGGTCGGCGCCGCCGTACCGCAGTTCTGGGGCCACTCGTCCGAGCCGTCCGGGCAGTCGGCGTCCCCGTCGCAGGCCCACGCACGTGGAAGGCAAACGCTGTTATTGCACTGAAAAGAAGCGCCGCTGCACGTCACCGGCGGACAAGAGGCCTCGTCGCTGCCGTCGCCGCAGTCGTCTTCCTTGTCGCAGACAAAGGAGCTGGACACACACTGGCCGTTTGCGCAGCGGAATTCTGTGTCCGTGCAGTTTTTGGGTTCTAAGAGGCAGGAGACACAGTGAAGAAAGCCGTATATCAAGAAGAGATCAGAGAGGCCACGACACACAGAAATGGAGACCATAAACGGGCAAGAACCAGCAGCTTCCACTCTCCGGTGTGTGAAGATTATTTATCTGTCTCTACTTTGAGCAGATTCCTTACCGCAGCGCTCTTCATCAGCTCCGTTCTCACAGTCTGCTTTGCCATCACAGCGCCAAGTGTTTGGTATGCACTGGTGCAAACGGTCGCTGCAACTGAAGTCTGTTGGTCGACATGTTTTGGCCGCTGGAAGACACACACACACACACACACACACACACACACACCCACACACACACACACACACACAAACAACAACATTGTGTTTGAGATTTTGTAAATAACCCAAAAGATTTTTTTTCCATACTTACAGCAATTATTAGGAAGCTCGTCCGTGCCATCTCCGCAGTCATCTGTGCCATCGCACACCCACCTGACGGTGATGCATCTCCCATTCTCACATGGGAACTGGCTGCTTCCGCATGTTGTCAGTGCACCCGCTGTCGGCAGATTCAGAGGATGAAAATAACAAAAGAATATCGTTTTCTTTAGCACAAGGTCATCTGTGCCAAATGAGTCATCTGATGAAAACAAGGCTTGCCCCACTAACCTCCATCTAGAATGGAGCCACTGAACCGAAAGCATCAAACCAACTGTTCAGTTGCGTCGCACAGATGATTTATGAAAAGAGAGTGGAAGCCTTGAGGGTTTGAAACCCAACAGAGACACCTGTTTTTTTTTTGTTTTTTTTTTTGCATGTTTGAATTTGTGCCACATTCTACGGAAACGTGACTTGAAAGAATTTGACTCTTTCTTGCTACGGATAACTTTCCGAGCTGAAAATCACAAAACCAACATCTGGTGCATTTGGGGGTGCCGGAAGTCTCCGCTGTTGTGGAAAAGTCCGTATGGTTAAGTTCTTAAGCACTTCACCATGAAATCTAGTATCTGTGAAGCTACTGGAAGGGATTTTTGGTCTGAAAGCGCTGAAGCTTAAAGATGGTTAAGGCTGTGGTAAAAAAACAGAAGTCATGATTCAACTTCAGACTCTGAAATGTTCAAAAAAAACAAAAAAGTAAAACAACTCTCTTCAATAAGGCCACGGATCGGGAATAGCTTTCTTTTCTGAATCGGTTGTCATTGTTGTTCGTGCTAAGTGGTTCACGTTCCCCCATCTCGCCTCTGTCTCTGTTTTTATACCTTCGAAGTGTCTCAAGATGTCAATCTATCAACCACTCGAGATCCCAATCGCAGTTTATTTCCCTCGACATTTCTTTTTTTTTTACATGGAAAATCACAGCACAGGGGAAAGAAGTCACAGGCTTATTTTGCCCAAATAAGGTGTCCAAAGTATTGTTTCCAAATGCAGGGAGTAAAAGTAAACAGTCGACTGAAAAATAAACACTCAAGTCAAGTACTGTACAGACACCTGAAAGATCCATTTTATGAGAGTAACAGAGTACACCGCAGTTGCACATTATTTATCCGCTGAGCTTAAAGTTCAGACCCTGAAAGACAACATTGACTCATGGCTGGCCTTATTGACCGGGAAAGAACCAATATTGGGAGAAGAAATGCACTGCCAAATGTTACTGTGTTTAATTGATCGCTTATGAGAAACAGTGAGCACACTCTGGGGACTTTTCCAGCGCAGGGCACAAATGCAGATTAAAAAAAAAAAAAATGACACAAGGATTTAACTTACTAAGCCTATTTAGCTTTTTTTTTCAATCTATTTTCTTTTCAATTGAAGCCCAAGCTTTCAGGTGGAAGTGAAAATGAGACGACGGCGCTGGACTGAATAGGCTGCCAGTTTGAACATGTTCGAGAAGTCACGATTTCCCCCAACCAACGTACTGGGTGGGAACAGGTCTGACAATGTGTGACCAAAACTGAAACTGTTTTTGTATTGGTGGGTGGGCTGGAGGAATTCCATTCATATGCACAATTTGAAGGCTTAAAAAAAAAAAAAAGAAAAGAAAGGAATGGGAGGGTTGGGCTTGCAGATGGAGCGGGAAGAAGCCAACCAGTCTTCGTGTTGCATCATGTTGGACTAACGCAAGACGGTACTCCTCAACCGCATCCAAATCATCCCATGATGGATTTCGAGAGTTCAACAACAGGCAAGTGGCATCCAATTCCACTTTATGAATGACCAAATGTCCTCACCCGCTCTCAGAAGCTGATTGGCTGGAGGAACTGCTGCGTCTTGAAGGCCAACAAATGAAAAAGTAGAGCGCAAAAACCAGTGGGGGGGAAAAAAAGGAGTGATGCTTGACAAGCATTCCGGTATATGTAATATTCATAAATTAAGAGAATTTGAGAGATTGGGGATATTTTCTTCACATGGCATGAAACGAGTGGGAAAGATTTGACCTACATTCTCGGGAAATGCGTTTAGCACAACCCCCCACACACAACATCACCACCACCACCTCATCATCTTACACCCGGTACTGTCAGAAGAGTGGGCAACTTAAATCCACAGACACTGGATGTCACAGGCCCATATCATACATATTTTTAAATATTAAAGGTCATAACATAGAGGGGATTTTTTTTTATGTGTGAAAATTTGTCAGAAAAAAAAACGAATAAGCGCAATGAATTTGAACTTACTTGTTTGAACTTGGGAGTAGATGACAAACGCCAACAGCACACAGGGCAGTTCCATGGCTTTCTTTGCACGCACACTGGAGGATGCACCCAAAGGCTACTTTTTGACTCACGCTAATTCTCCTCTAGAATTTCTACAGGGCAACGGGAGGTGACGTGTGATGCTGCTGACGAAAAGAGATGGCCTTGCACTCTGCAATGTTTGACAACAGGAGACCCATTTCAATGTGGCCCACCGAGTGGGTGGGACCGACGGGATCCGGGGGGCGCGGTTAGGAAGGCGGGATTTGAAGTGGTGTGATTTGGGAGCCACCGCAGACTCAACAATCCGGAGGCGGAGCTCTGCTTGGAGATGATTTTTTACTATAAGTAACTTTAACCCCTTTGCAGAAGGCTCACGTGCGCACGTGGCACATGGAAACATCGGAGGGGCTTTTTTTCCCCCCACTCTGAAAGTTGAACTTTGAACCTTGTGCAATACATCCTTGACATCGGTGCAGGGCAGTGGTCTTTAATAAATAAAAACCCATTCTAATTTGCCTCATGAAGCTGAGGTCAAATAAAAGATTCTGTGAGCTGGACAAACCCGAAAATAGAAATGCAGGCCATCAGAGCCAAGCGAGGAAATGCAAATTGTTTGAAAGAAAGAATGCAGTGGTGTGCTCACTGCAGAAGACAACTGGATACTCGCAGAATTCCATCGTTAAGAGAATTCGGGTTATGCTCGATACTCTTCGGTGAACAACTTCACGCAACCTGCAGACGATGCAACCACATGTAACAGAAGTCTAGACCGTCTTGATTCCAAATGGCAATGTACCGTAGTTATGGAAACTATTTTTTATTGCTTGTGTTTTATGCACAGCACTTTGTTTCGGCTGATGATGCTGAAAGCTGAATTGGGTTGAGACGTTCAAAAAGTAGGCTTCATCAAGAGCACGGTCACGTAAACCATTTGCACACAGTAATTCCATGCTGTTAATGCAAAAAGTGGACGGTAGCAGCAGTACGTCAACGTAACTAGCCTCCAAGAAAGAGCAATTATGATAGTAGGCCACCTAGCGGTCAGATTAAAAACGCAACCTTCATAATTATTACGAGAAGCCTTTATTGTACTTTTTGGAATCCAGTGACACCGACACGAGAAAATGGTCCCGTCCCTCCCTCCCTGTGTACATACCTGAGAGGGAGGGGCTGCGGGTGGGCCGTACCATGATCCCGCTTGCAGTCTTAAATTACACAAAGATAATAACAAAGACACATCCAGGTGCATTTCCACCGACGCGCAACATGCATTCAAAATGGGATTTTTCTGGGACTACAGTGACTCTTGGCTAACTTCTCAAAACGACGACAAACTAACGACCTCAAAATAAAAACCCTGCTCTCTATATGGCCCACAATCAGTCTATGCCTCAGGATCTGTCAATCTTCCATTTGGGAGCAACAACAACAAAAAAAAAGCGACAAAACAAGAAAGACACACTCCTGATCATAAGAAAGGATGTTTAAATATGGAAGTGGGTAAGTTCATATCTGTTCATATTCACTTTTTTTTTGCTTTTGAATCAATGACACACTTTCATGAGAATACAACAGGTCTCACTTATTAAAAGAAGAAGAAAAAAAATCTGACTAGGTGAAACTAGGCTTTCCCACTGCACCTCTGCCTCCCTGCGGTACCTAAAGAAAAATATCTAAGTTCCAGTCCAGTAGATCTGTGGACCGTTGGTCCTCTTCGGAGTGTTTCAGGATCAGTCCTCTTCGCTGCCGCTGGCCGAATGCTCCTGAAACAATCACAAATGGGTATTTTACTGACCAGGTAAAGATAATGAAAAAACAGAAATGCTTCAATACAAACGTCTTCATCAATTCACCCCGGACAAAGAATGTAAATGTAAACATCTGACCACAACTGGACATTGTAAAACACCGTAGTGAATTTTTCGAAGCACGACATAAATGAGAGGTCGACCTCTGGTTCTCGTAAGTGGTACGTTGCATTTGGAGATGAACCTCGCTCACCTCTTCCTGTTCGTCCTCACTGTCGTCGTCGCTCACCACGGGTTTAGCTCGCACGCCACGGCCCCTCCGTCGTTGTCCTTTCCCACCACGGTCCCCCTTTTCTTTCCGGCTCAGTTTAATCTTGACCTTCACAGAACGGGCTGGGACGGAACACACAGTTTGACGTGACCTCCCAACATTTAGAAACACCATTTTGTACAAATACAGATTTCTGATACTTACATTCAGACTCAGAACCCTCGTCAAGGTCTTCCTCTTCTTCTTCGCTCTCCTCTCCTTCACTGTCTTCCTCCTTCTCAATCTTCTGTCTCACGCTGGTGAATACTGATTGAAGCACAATCGAGTCTTCGAAGATCTGATGGTTTAAAGAAAGTGGAAAAGTTAACCCGGAACCGTGAATTTAAAATATACACGAAGTGCCTTGACTTACAACTTTATCAGTGTGTTTAGTGTGCGTGTCTGTGCTTTCACTTGTCATGTGTTTTGACTGTTTTCCGTGTCAATCAACAGCTCAAAGTGCACGGGCTACTGTTGCTCTCTCTTTTCACACCTCACTTGAGTGGGAACCAAAATTTTAGGTGGCAAATTTGAAAAACCTGCAAGCCGGGGCACCCGTGAGGCAAGGCATCGGCATATTTGTAAAAAAGGAGCACCAAGGTGACACCAACCAGAGATCCCTCGAGGTTAAAAGTCTGAGCGTTCTGACACAGCAGCATCACATCCCTCTCGAGGTCATTCAAGCTGCGGTACTTATGGCTGCGGATCCTCTCCTGGTTGACGGAGCGGCGCAAGTCAGATGTGGATTGGCATGAGAAAACCAAAGAAAAACATCAGAGCGCATACCTTGATCTTCCGAAAATCTACTGGTTTGCGGATGAGCTCATAGTACTCAGGAAGCTCCTTGCGGGAAGGCAGCTGGATGAAGACCTCACTCAGTTGTCGTCCATTACTACTGAGAGGAGAGGAAAATGCACAATAATTAGTTATGACAGCAAAGGATAAAATTTGCACTGCTACCGGCGGCCATGGCAGGCCCCTTGGCACAAAGCATGGTGAAGTGCGGGATTTTGAGCATTTTTGGCCCCGCATTATACATCAGCTATTATTTGGATTCGTTCGTGTAGGAGGTACAGAGTAATTTTGGAATAGGCTGTGGTGGAGGCCGTGAACAGAGCGTCAATGTAGCCTAACATTCTACGTTTGCCAATCCAAAAATAAACAAGCTCACCCGTCCTTGTATTTGATGACGGCATCAACTATCTTCTTCATCTTCTTGGTGAGTGATGGAGGGTTAGGAGAGAGTTTCTCCGCGGGCGGCCGCCCACGTTTCTTTGCTTTCTTCACCTCGTCGTCCTTGTCACGCCCCCGGCCGCTGCTGGAGCTCGGTGTGGTGGGCCCGCCGTCATGGTCGCGGTCTCTCTTACGCTTTCTGGTTGTCTTTTTATGGCGCACTTCCTCCTCGATGTCTTCCAAATTACCCTCTTCTATGGCCTTTTGAAAAGAAAAAATTAGCGAGTTGAGCCACGACGAAAGCTCAGCTGTTGTTTGAAAGACCCGTTTCTATTGGGACATACCTTCAACCACTGTTTCTCGGTGAGCGAGTCGCTATAGTCCACCTCCTTACGCTGGCGGGAGCCTCGGCCAAACATTTTCTCCTCTTCTTCTTCACAGGTAAGCCTCTCGACCTCAGCGTCATCTTTCAAAATCCAGCCGGGGAGATCGTCCTCCTCCATCAGACGAGGTTTTCTCTTGGGGTTGCGGGCGTCCTCGCGGCGTCTGTCGAGATCCATGCGCTGAATACAACAGTAACGCAGATGGTTAAGTGGACTTGGATTATTCAATGACAATCTATTTTATGATTGAAAGTAGGGTGAGATTAACCATGAACTGGTCAAACTCTTCTTCACTTCTGGCAATCATCTGGTTGACTGTCTCATCATCAGGCACTTCATCTTCCTCCTGGAGAGAGAAGAGGCAGTGAGAGTGAGACGGGGCACCTGGTAGAATATTGGGGTAGCTCAGAGCCACTTCTCTTTAACTTGACGCTTTCTTCAGCAAAGCAGGCAAAAAAAAAATCCTCAAATGTCTGTTAGATGAAGAAAGCGTAGACAACTACCTGTACATGTTGTAGTTTTTGAGCAAATTAAAAGTTATTGCAATACCTACAGTTATTTTTTTCAAATAAGACAAACTAAAATTGTCAAGGAAAGCAGAAAGATTGGAGGGAAAAAAAGTAGAAGTGTTACATGGACTATGACATGCATTTTCAATAAAGAAGCAGAAATATGCAAGAGAAAAAGGAAGAGTGCGGATAGACGAAATCCTGAGAAAAGAGGAAGAGAAACAAGAGGAAGAAAAAATAAGGAGAGAATGAAGATGTGGGAACCAGCGCACAGGCAGATGTGGGTGGGTGGGCAACGTGGCAACGTTCAGATCACACCCACCCACGCCCCCCTAGTGCGGCAGCCTCCACGAGCCCCGACCTCGTCCTGTTCCTCGTGCTCCAGAATGGCCTGTAAGAAGGCCCGACGCTCACAGCCCGAAGACTTCTGGTCAAACATGCCCGCCTGGATGACCTTCTGGTCAACATTCAGTTTGTACTTGGCTGCTGCCAGAATCTTCTCCTCCACGCTGTTGACAGTGCAGAGCCGAAGGACGCGCACCTCATTCTGCTGACCAATACGATGGGCCCTGTCCTGAGCTTGCAGGTCCTGTCAAGATAAATGGAAAAGCAGCAGCAGGTTTCTACGGTGTCGTAAAAAGCATTCGCGCACTTCAAGCATATCGAGTGCATTGAGAAGTTCCCAAACATCAAATCTATTTACATACTTCAAAATCACAAACAGCAAAAAGGTGTTTCTTAAGGGACACAAAATCCTATCTGGTCCTATGTAGAGAAGTAAATCTGCCATCCTTGGGAGCGATAATTGAAAACCAGCGTTCAGCAACGCAGTGCCACGCTATCACACTGGCACAAAAGAGGGATCAGGAAGGGCGTCGGTACTTTTTCCCAGCATTGGACACGAAGAACAACTTGAAAACTCTGTTGTTTTCAGTCACATATCAGGATCGTTCGCAAGCCAACAAACCTGATCGTACATTACCTGATGGGGGTTCCAGTCACTGTCAAAGATCACAACGGTGTCAGCGGACTGCAGGTTGAGACCCAAGCCTCCTGCTCGGGTGCTGAGCAGAAACACAAA